GCACGGCGCCACCCACCGCGGGTCAAGGCCAGAGCAGACCGCAGACTTCACCTTGAAGTTCGCCCTGAGAACTGCTTTGGTTAGCTGGGTCACCTCACCACTGAATGACTCATCTTTGAGGAGGGGACAGATTCTCCTGTTTGCCTGGCAGCAGCTCCAAGTATCGGTTGAGCACCAAAACCTGTTGCACATCCAGCACCGGGATAGCGGCTGACACACAGTAGCTGCTCGATAAAATTTTCTCCCAGAGATTCTGCCATGTTGCGGTCAGCAGCTCAGATCGGGCGCGGGAGACCATCCCCTGCACTGATGTTCTATATGTCACGAGTCGGCACCGAATGGAATATTTTTTTTTGAATCATTGACTTGGCATTTTTTTCCAGCTCGTCTGACTTCTAACTTTTAAAGGCTCACACTATCACATTTCCTTGTGTCTCTGCATGACACAGGACAGTGACTGGACTCTTGAAAAAATATATTGAATTTTTAGTGATGTTGATGCATGCAAGACATTGATACTTTCTGACAGACTCACTGAATCTCTAGACTTGACATGGGTTTGAAGGGAGAATATGCGAATTAATGTAATTGTAAACGGGGGCGCCTGGGTGGCTCAGTCGGTTAAGCGACAGACTTAGGCTCAGGTCATGATCTCACAGTTTGTGAGTTCAAGCACCGCGTCAGGCTCCGTGCCGACAGCTCGGAGCCTGGAGCCTGCCTCGGATTCTATGTCTCCCCCTCTCTCTACCCCTCCCCTGCTCACGCTCTGTGTCTCTCCGTCTCTCAATAATAAACGTTAAAAAAAATTTAAATGAATTTTCCTCTTCATCTCAAGGTCCTTGCAACAAAGGGCTAGTAGAGTAGGATTTTAGAATAGTGACTGATGCTGTAGCATAAGAATTTGATGGCATTGAGTGATTACGTTACCTGGAAAATGCCTTTGTTGGTCCTCAGTGTCTACTTTATTTGGTCACAGCATCCATATATCAGTTACCAGTAGAAAATAGACATTTTGCTCTCCTCTGGAGCACCGCCTGTGTGGCCTCGTATGGACGTTCACACAGGAGGAGTTTACCTTATGATTTTTCTAATGGTGTTCTTAAAATAAGCCTTACTGATTAGAAATAGAAAAGCTGGCTTGATAAAAGGCTTTCCTCAAAAAAAGAAGTGGGGGAGGGGCGGGAAGGGGCGGGGGGGGGGGAGCCACCATCAGAAAAGAGTCCTTTGGGGTAATAAGAGAGGAAGCCGCCACAGGTGTGCCCAGCTCCACAGCCCGTCACACGGACCCTGTACCAAAAGCCACAGCGGGACTGCAGACCCCGCTCCTCCGATACGGACTCTTCAGAAAGTCTGATTCTGACACGTGGAGCCAGACCTGCAAACAAGCAGGGGCACAAAAGCAAGTTTGACTCAGGCTCCAAAGTGAAGACGTTTTCGCTTTAAATACCTGGCCAGTGACGAATAAAGTAGTGTGGACCTAACGGCCAATACTTAATCTCAGCCCAGGCCCCACCCACCTTATAAAACAGCACTTAAACCCAGGGAGATGTAGTTTTAAAAGCACAACAGAGGGGCGCCTGGGTGGCTCAGTCGGTTGGGCGACCGACTTCGGCTCAGGTCATGATCTCACAGTCCGTGAGTTTGAGCCCCGCGTCGGGCTCTCTGCTGACAGCTCGGAGCCTGGAGCCTGTTTCAGATTCTGTGTCTCCCTCTCTCTCTGACCCTCCCCCGTTCATGCTCTGTCTCTCTGTGTCTCAAAAATAAATAAACGTCAAATAAAAAAAGAATAAAAGCACAACAGACCTTTAGGGTTTTTCCCCCTCCCCTCGTCCTTGTTTACCCTTTCTTTACCTTTGTTGCTCTTCGGTTTTCCAGGCTCTTGTCAGTCTCCAAGAACCACTCTGAATGTTAGCGCTTTGACAGCGCTTCCCCAGTGGTGAGTCCCAGATCACTGTCCAACCACTCCCTCAAATGTTTCTTTATGGAATGTTGGACGTCAGCAGTGACCCTCTGTACGAAGTGCCTTGTTCTCCTAGAAAGGCAGCATTTAGGGGCACCTGGGTGGCTCAGTGGGCTGAACCTCTGACTCCTGATTTTGGCTCAGGTCAGGATCTCAGGGTTTGGGAGTTCAAGCCCTGCATTGGGCTCTGCACTGACAGCACAGAGCCTGTTTCGGATCCTCTGTCCACCCCCCCCCCACCCCTTCCCCCTCACATGCGTTCTCTCTCTCTCTCTCTCTCTCTCTCTGAAAAATAAACATTTTTTTTTAAAGGGCAACATTTAATGCCTGCAGTGAAGAGGAATTCATACATGCAGACACCCGTTTCTTTTTCTTTTGGGGAGTGGGTTTTCCCCTAGGAACAAGAGAAATTTTACGACCTGGTGCTTTAGGAAAAAAATGGAGGCTGCGTGCTCTCCAAATCTCAGTCATCAGTCTTCTGGTTTAACTGCAGCAGAATGCATTACTGCCTTCTCGAAATGCATGCTTATCGACCACAGTGATTTCCTTTTAGGTAAAACGGGCATTTACATGGACGTTAGGTGAAACCAAGGGATTAATGGATTTCTTTAAATGGCTTGTCATCTTAAACAGGGTTAGGTCAGCTTCCTCAAGTGGCGTGCTTTATCCTGATTTCTAACCGGAAGAAGGAAAATGAAGATTTGTTCCTCGTTTTCCAGGTAGTACATTCCCTGCAGTCGATAATTCCCAACAGCAGACGCTATAGAAGTTGTATGTTAGCAGCCTGAACTGTAGGAGGAGAGGATGTTTGTTGTCCAGAATCAGTGTCGGTCATTTTAGACATATTGAGAGTGCACTCAGTGGCTTGTTTTTTCTTTTAAAAATACCCCCCGTAATAAGATTCATTCCTTCATTTGCACCAACACATTACACGTCCACCCTTTCTGTCCTCACTTGATCACAAGTCTTTCCCCTGGCTCCGCCAGGCTGTGCTCCCCTTGAGGTCTGGAAATAACTCGCACATGTCCACGTTTGTGAGAGTGTGGCTCAGTGCTTATTTCGTGGGTGTTCAGTAAATAATTGTTGACCCTCTTCTGTCCACTGCTCCTCTGTTGTCCTTTCTGCCGGTGGTGGTTAATTTCCATAGATTTTGTTTTGGTTTTGTTTGCAGAGCAGCGGGGTCATTTATCCGCATTTGGCAAGCATTCCTTTAAGCAGGGGGGGGGGCCCAGGTCACCAGTCATATGCAAATTCAAGATGAGACTCTCCGTCTTCCTTACAAGGCTTACTCATGTCCAGTAGCAAGAATCCGAGTTGGTGACATTTTGTGACAATTTTTACTGGTAGCTAGGACTCAAATGTGTCGCATCAAGGAGGCTGAAATCAGAAAGACCTGAACTCAGCAGGCCGGCAGGTCAGTTTTTTCACATTGTGGGTCAGGATACGTTGGTGAGATAATTAGTGGGACATGTCTAAATGTATTTTCTTAAGTAATAAAATATAGTTTTTCGAAGTAATAGCCTGGGAAAGGATAAAACATTTCATATTATTTCAAGAATTTTTTTGTTTCGGAGAAATAGACTTACGTGTGTGAGTGTGCACGTGTGTGTGCGTGTGACGTGAAACTGAGTCGCAATCTAAAATGTAGATTGTCAGGGCACCTGGGAGGCAAAGCGTCTGACTTCAACTTGGTCATGATCTTGTGGTTCATGAGTTCGAGCCTGCCTCGGGTCTGTGCTGACAGCTCTCAGCCTGCAGCCTGCTTCGGATTCTGTGTCTCCTTCTCTCTCTGCCCCTCCCCCGCTATCTTTCTCTTAAAAATAAACATTAAAAAAAATGTAGATTGTCGTCAAGAAAGAGTTTAAAGAACACTAAGCTTTCGATATCTGAATGTTTCATTATTCTGAGCCTTGAATGTCTCATCTGTAAAATGCGGTTGGTGACTATTTTGAGGATTTATTCTGAGGATTAAGGGCAGTCATACATGAAGGCACATTGCATAGCATCTAATTTACTTGATAGACATGCAAAAGATGTAACCTTTTCCTAAAACTAATCCATTTAAATTTTAATCGACAAAGACCTATTCAAGTGCACACAGGACTGAGTCAGGATTTCGATCCATGAAACTAATTATTAAAATCCTATCTGATTTGAAAGACAGTGATGTTAAAAATTAATCAGGAAGGACACTGCTTAATTCATCCACTCTGCTTATTGATTTTTCTTGGAGATCATTGCTTTTTAGCTCAATAAAAGTATTTTTAATTTATCAACCCATTTACTCAAGTAATATTTTTAGAAGCTAGAATATGTCCAGAGGAACATGACAGAAATTTTTACATGGGTCCAAACTTATGCTGTGAGAAACAGCTAAAAGAACTAAGTTAAAACTTAAGTGACATTGGTTTCATGTATTCAAAGGATTATTTCATGCCAGAGAAATCACATTAATTACATATGTTCTTGGAAGAAGGAAACTTGAAGACCTATTTATTGGAAGTTAATGGAATAGTAGAGTTCAGTTCAAAATCAGAAACAGAATTATTCTTGAGACTGGTCCTGAGTCACTGTAGCTACTTTGGAAGGGATGTTCCTTCAAGAAGGCAAGGTGGGTATGTTGGGATGTGATATCATACAAACTACCTTTTAGTTTAAAGATCTAATGTTTTTCAGGTTGGTTTTTATGGGTGAGACATACTGATAGGCCAAATACCAAACTTTTATGTCGAGCATTTCCACATGACATGCACTCAGGACACTTGGACCTGAAAACAGAACCCTGTAGAAACTGCTGAGCAATGTGCGTATTTTTTTTTTAATGTTTATTTTTGAGAGAGAGAGTGAGAGAGTATGTGTGTGAGCGGTGGAGGGGCCAAGGGAGAGGGGGACAAAGGATGCCAAGCAGGCTCCTCACTGGCAGCAGCAAACCCGACGCGGGGCTCGAACTCACAAACCGTGAGATCGTGACCTGAGCCAAAGTTGGACGCTCAACTGACTGAGCTCCCCAGGCGCCCTGGAACACGCATATTTTTATCAGTGAAGGATTCATTGTATTTATTCAGTCAGTTTTCATCACAGGCATTTAATTGATTATCCCTGACTTTACTCTGAATTTCTTCCTTTTGTTAGTTACGTTTGCTGACTACTTAGGAGCAAAAGTAGCGAAGAGGTCTGTCCATTGCTCATTTTTAGCAGTTCAATGGATGTTGCCGTTGGCGCGAATGCAGACAAGGTTGAGGCATCTGAGCATGGGAACATCTATTAAGAAGAAAACAGGCGGTGAACAGGTGTCTGGAAGGAAGAGGTGACTCTTTAGAAATAAGATGGTTGGTGTCACCAAGCAGCCAACCAAGAAAGGCATATGGTGATGACAGGGAGCATTTTGTTTTCCTGTAACTTTTGGGAAATGCTTTCAGTGGCTTTAGATTTTGTTGGGAAATTTTAATTTAATGTAAAGAATGCCCTAGATCATAATGAAGCCCGGGCACCTGACAATGGCTCTCTGCTCCAAAGTGATTTATTGATGAGGAATCGGAGTTGTGTCAGATGTGAACCGATACGCCTAAGTACTATTGAGCTAGAATCAGAACATGTATTTCTTGACTTAGAATCTACTGTTCTTTTTTTTTTTTTAATATATATTTATTTTTGGCAGAGTGTAAGTGGGGAAAGGGCAGAGAGAGGGGCACAGAGGATCCAAAATGGGCTCTGCGCTGACAGGCGCACAGCAGCAAGCCCGATGTGGGGATTCAAACTCATGAACTATGAGATCATGACCTGAACCAAAAATAGAAGCTCAAACGACTGAGCCACCCAGGCACCCCTAAAACAGAGGGTTTTGGGGGGTTTTTTGTTAGATGATTTAGTTGAAATGAGTATTAAGGGATGTGGCCCACTGCCTGCTCCCACCTCCCACTGGCCCCACAGCACAACCACTAGCCTTCCGAGTTGTACCATATAATTAAATTTAAAGAATCTACTTGCTGGCCTTCATTTTATGACCAGGGTTTCTTTGAATGCAAGGGAAAGGGGCATTATTTTAGACTTCCTAGGAGAAAATTCCATTTTCTCAAATGTGGCAAAACAGCCTTTAGGGGCAGAGTGCAGTGAGCATGATTCCAGGGGAGTCCGCTGGAAGGGAAGATGTAGAATATGAGGAAATCTGCCTTTCTACTGTCCAAAACAGACATTTGTAAGTATTAATCAACTTCAGAGTGTAACTGGCTCACCATTTCTAAGACTTTCCCCAAGGAAAACAACATTTGTGAAAATAGACCTATTTCTCTTAATGTAAATAGTTGTTAGTGCTGATTGGAAATTGTTTTGTTACAGATGTTCTGTGGGGTCTGTAGCGATGGCTCTTTCTAGGGAATGAGCAAACAGCATGTGGTTTAGACGAGCCACCCCGTGATCTGATAGGACAGTGTCTCTAAAGGAGGAGATTGATTTTCTTTGACGGATTCTCTGGAAATCACGTGGAACCTCCAGAGCCTTCCTGGGCCGAGGCTCAGTGACGTTGGGATAAGGGAATGGATGAGGGGCCGAGATCAAGCAATCATGACTTACACGGTGATGGATCTCAGAAGGTAGTGCCGAAGCCAGGTTTGGTTGTTACTGATGTTTTTAATGATTACATGGCCAGTGAGCTCATATTTTAGAATTTCTCGGGACCTGAGGCTCCCTCAAGGTGGTGGCATATTTATAACCCATTTCAGTGCTTTTTCCGTCCTAAATCCTTGACCGAACGCTTAATAGTGTCCACTGCTTCCTTGTCTGAGGACTCTTCTTGCCCAGCACTGCTCACCAGCTTGGCACACGGGGGTAACTCCCCCTCGGGAAGGAAGGAAGTCTGCGTGCCCGTGGTGCCGATCACCAGCACGTTTTTCTTCAAGTCGATGGAACACTGATGTCTCCTGAGCATGTCCAGCCCGAGAAGCATGTCCATGGGCTGGTCCTCGAGGATAGAGAACGAGCACTGAAGGAAATCCCCTTCGATCTGAATCTGAGCCAGATGGACCCGGCCCATGATCCTCTGTGTGCCCACCCCCTTGGCGATGCCAGCCCAGCGCCGGTCCACCAGCCGGATGATATTGCACCTCTCGGCACAAGCCTGGCTCATGATGGTCATCTGGGCCCCCGAGTCCACAAAGGCCTTCAGAGGGTGCCCGTTGACTTTGCAGTTGATGTAGAGCATGGCCACTTGCCCGAAACTCTCCGGGGCCTCCTCCATCGCTATGTTCATGTTCTCCTCGATGTTCTGCTGCCGGATCTCTTCTTCGATTCTGGCCTGAGCTTCCAAGTCGAACGGGTCCGCGGAGTAGAGACGAAACCTCTCCTGCTCCCGCAGGGCCCTCTCCCTCTGCTGCTCCATCAGGACGCGCGAAAACGTCTCGAGGTTCCCACTGAGCAGGGCCTCGGCCAGGCGGGGGTTGCGCTCCTTCAGCAGCGACAGGTCGTGGGGGCTGGACAGCAGCATGCTCCGAATCAGCACAGGGCTGTCCAGGCTCTGTGCGGACACCCTCTTCTCCCCGGAGCTGAGGCCGCGGGGCTGCACCCGGCGCTGCAGGTGCTGCGGGGGGTGCTGCTGGCGGCCGCCCGACGTGCCCGGCTCTGCCGGCCCGGCCAGCTCCACATGGGGCAGGCTGGCCGTGCGGCCGGGCGGCCGGGATCCCGCGCTCTCCCTCTGCAGCAGCACCACCACGTCACCATCGCGGAGGCCGTAGGAGCCCAGCGAGCTGTGGTCGTCGGCCAGGACCTGCTCCATGTGGATGATCTGGATCTCGTTGGCGGGGACCCCCGACTCCAGCTCGCACAGGACGCGGAAGTCGTGCAGCTCGAAGTCAGGGCTGACCTGGAGGGAGAAGGTCGCCTCCGACAGGTCCCTCCGCACACAGTACACGGTGACCAGCATGGCATGGGCCCCGGGTCGGCGCAGGGGATTGGCTGCGTGGCAGGCTCACCGGTGTCCTCCCCTGGTGCCCCGGCTCTCGTTCATTCGCTTGTCGGGGAGGCCCAGCTGCTCACCAGCCCCACGGAACCTCGAGGGCACGTGTGTGTTCCAGACCCCGTTTGTGTGGTGCTGCTTGGAACTTGGAACGCCCGCTCCCCCAGAAGCCAGGTCTCTCTGGTCCCGCCGCGTGGTTCCCAGGCCAGCCCTTCCAGCCCTGCCCATCCGTCCTCTGGGAATGATGAGCTCTTCCCAAATAGCAGGAAAGGTTTCATCGGGGCCCTCTGAGAGCTATAGTCTGTGTGCTCTTCGTCACTCTGCAGGCAAGGAGTGCGGGTCGCCTCCACGGCCAGCATCTCCCTGTGTGCCTGGGGCAAAAGACAGGGGTCAGACTCAGTGCCTGAGCTCGGGGTGGGGTGGGGGTCAGACTCGGTGCCTGAGCTCCATGACCTCACGCTCTCGGGGGGGCTCAATGGTGAACGGGGAAATCGCAGTACTGGAGGCAAGGGCTTCTGCTGAGACACGTTGAGCTCCAGAGGAGACCAGGCAGGTCCTGACGGATGCACATTTTCTGTGGGAAAAATGGTGAGAGTCGCTCCGGACGAAAAGAATTAAAAAAGCCAGAATTCATGACGCGGCCTGCTTTCTGTCCAGGGACGTGAGCCATCCAACGTAATAGGAGAAATTTGTACGTGGTTTCGAGTGGCAGGATGTGAGGCTGGAAAGAAGATGACTGAATCTGGTTTATGGAGTCACATGTGAGTCCAAGGAATGGCAATATTATCAATAAGGAAGAGTCCTCCCTCCAAAAATATAAAAAAGGAAGGGCGGGAAGAAAGAGAAAGGAAGCGGGGAAGATTTGAAGCAGGTGTGTGTGTGTGTGTGTGTGTATGTGTGTGTATTTCATTTAATTGACTTAAGGAAGAGGTCTCTAACGCTTCATGGGGACAGGTGGGGAGAGAGCCAGGTAAAGGGTTCTCGCTGGTGCAGACAGGAGACTGTGGGTCGAAGGAACAAATACGAGGAAGGCTCCAGCCCGCTCTGTGGGGAACAAGAGTGTTCCCTGACTAGAATGGACGGCACGTGTCTACCCGTCGGATGCGGGGAGTGGAAAACACCAGAATGCGTGGGTGACACGGAGGCTCTCAAATGGAGGCCTGGTTAGAAATAGGCCCTTTTGGGGCGCCTGGGTGGCGCAGTCGGTTAAGCGTCCGACTTCAGCCAGGTCACGATCTCGCAGTCCGTGAGTTCGAGCCCTGCGTCAGGCTCTGGGCTGATGGCTCAGAGCCTGGAGCCTGTTTCCGATTCTGTGTCTCCCTCTCTCTCTGCCCCTCCCCCGTTCATGCTCTGTCTCTCTCTGTCCCAAAAATAAATAAACGTTGAAAAAAAAAATTTTTTTTTTAAAAAAAAGAAATAGGCCCTTTCCTCCAGTGGATGCGTGAGATGCTCCTTCGAGGAAACCAACCTGACATCAGTTCTGGAGTCAAACGCGTCATGAATGCCTCTCTGGGGGTGTCTCTGGCTTCCTCTCCGACAGAGGGCCCGTTACCTCCCATAGGCACCTGAGCGGAGGCTCGCTGGGTCAGGGTAGACAGGACCTCCAGGGCCAACGGTGGCCGTGGAGAAGTCCTCGAATGCCACTCTTTGTGTCTGTATTTCAGTGAGGCACTCCTGCCTCCCAGGGTGTGTGTCCTTACCAACCACAAGGTAGTTCTGCATCGTCGGCCGTGTCCCTCCCCGCCTCTTTATTGCAAGTTCTCTCGGAACACCTGCACCGTTTGTTCCAGATTGCATCAGCCTACAGAAATGTTTTGTTTTGGCCTCGTTTGTCTCGGAGAAAGGATGGCCTCTCACCCGTTGCTCTGACTGTCATTATCTTTCCACACACCTGTTCGTTCATATCGGAACGTGGAGTAAATGCCCAGTGTGTGTGAAGCATAAGCTGAGTCCCGGGGATAATGTGAAGTGACAACTGTGTTCGTAGAGGACCCCGCGGTCTTTGAAAGGGGGGTGTAGGTGGACACACACACACACACACACACACATACCCACGCTAAGTCAGCGGGTTGAAAAAACACCAGACAAGTCCGCACAACTCGGGAGGAGTGAATAATGTCTGGGGAACAAATGCAGGATGCGGAGAGGGGGTCGGGCCGGGAAGGCTTCCAGAAAGGTGGCGAAAAGGCAGCCGCGTGGGGGTGGACATGGTGGAGAACCGGGGGCTGAGAAGTGTGTGGCCTCCCTTCACACCTTTAACCGGAAAGGGAGCGGCTCTTCAGGATGAGGAGGATTTTGTAACAGTTTGGGGGGGGGGGGGGGGGGCGGAATCTTGCATTGTAATTTTCCTGTAGAAAATTGTGAATTACTTGGGGCTATTTTCCACTCTTTGTGGAGAGGGATGGCCTTTTGACTCAAAATGTTAAGTTCACAAACTCCTGCAGTTGTTGATGTCCTGGTGAGTCATCAGAGATCAGCCTTGGTCGTGCTGACCTTGAGAACAAGTGCAAGGTGAGACCCAGCCAGCAAGGCACAGATTCTCCGTCCTACCAACCGGCTTTGGACGGTTGGTTGTCAGGGAGATAATGCTAGGGTTTTGTGTTTTATAAACAGGGGGCGAGATCATTTTGCAGAGCAAGCTTTTGATTTTTTGGCACAGCAAGGACCCAGGGTTGACATCAAAAGAAGAAGCTAACGTTCTTTTTGTTCACGTTGCCATTGCTTTGTTACCGAACATAATTAACCTTCATGCCGTGTGTTCTTGTTAGCTTGCTGTGACTCTTTACTTTTGGTGGCATTTTGCATTGATGCCATTTTTACTATTGTAGCCTTTTCTGAGAATACACGGTGGAAACAAGAAGCCCTCGAGGTCTGGCCAATTCCGTGTCATCATTCCCCACAGTATCACACAGGATGTCAGGATTAGCTGGGGTCTTCGGGTCCTCCAGTCCAGCCACTCATGCAGACCTCGCCTCTGTTGCAAAGCAAGCAGCCTGGAATCTAAAACGCTAAACACAGCCTTCTGGGGCTGCATATATGTGGTTTGATTCTTTCATTTCTCTCAGCACCGTGGGTGTTTGAGATACCATATGTGTAATTATCTTCCCTCAAAACTGTAATGACAAACTTACTCTGATTGTATAATAAACTCAGGGATCATCGGGAGTCTATATAAATATGCCTAAATATAAAAATGATCCCACAGCATAAATTCCTGTTGCACAGCCTGGTGAGAAATGACGGGCGCTCTGAATTCTCTAGGTGCACAAATCCAGGTAACTGGGGGTTCTTGTAACTTCTCCTGACGAGTTTCCGTGAATACATTCTCTCACTTCTCTTCTTTCATAAGTACAGTATGGGAACATAATTGAATCTTCCTTTGATAAGTGAGATTCCCTACAAGGTCTCAGGGCGATCACTCAGAAAATCGATTCTCCTTGTACAGCCTAAATACCTAGACAATAGAAAAGATGATGCTGATTTCAGGCCAGCCCACTAAACAGCCCCCAGGTTATTTTTTGGAATAAATCCACAACAATTCCCTTTATAATCTGCCTCTTGATAAAACCTTAATGCAGTAAAAAATCCAGATACTTATGGTGTCACTTAGTGAAGTCAGTTGATGTTTAAAGCGCTATGTCTTGCTCGTTACGGAGCAAATGTCTTTTTGTGAAAAAGGAGTAGCTTCGTAAATGTCTAGTATGTAGCATATATAATAATTAAACCACATTAAGCACACATATCAGCTTGCTGTGTTTGGATTCCTTGCTTGAAGTATGTGCCTGGTATCACTTTAAAAATAAAGTACTTATTAAGACAGGGCAATTGTTCCTTGAAATTCTCAAAGCAACTTGGGAAAGATGCAGAATTTTCAAAGCTGATTCAGAGGTTAAGCCACTAATTTTCTTACTATTCTTCCATTTTCTTTACAATAATACAATAAATTGTCACAAATGAGCAACATTTATTTCCTCAGATAATTGTTCGGTACACACATTAACAGTACTCCGATGAAAGTTCAGGCTTTTATTCGTACGTTGGAAGGTTTCCCATTTGAGAGGTTTAGCATTGCCCATCTTTGAGGCTTAAACACTGTGATAAGACCTCTAACGTAAATGTATAAACAGATACGTAATTGAAGAAACTCATGAGACCTGAGAACATAGTCTGTATCAACGTGCTGGCAACTCAGCTGGTGTTGTTCTTTATTGTGAGGAGACAGAAGACCCGCACTGCAGAAATATACACGTGTGAGGAGAGAGCAAGTGCACATGTAGTGAGGACATGTTCTCCATCACTTAGAATGTGCAATTAAAAAGATGCACAATTTTCCAGCAGGGAGCACTTTTATGGCACGTTGTATTATTGCTTTATTTTATAGATTACTGTTTTAACATTTAATCATAAGAAATATGTTTTAAGTATATATTGCATGTTGAGAATAACACAGTGTCTTGATAGCTTTTGGCTGCTTCAAAATATAGACTTCCCAAATCTAAATATACATGTGATTTACTTATTTTTAAGAAAGTTTGCTGCTATAATTTTGTGCCGTATGATCCCTTCACTGTCTTAATCATTTCAAAATTAACTCAGATCTGTAGGATGCACACCTTATTACTGAAAGTCTGAAGATCACTTGTAATTTGTGAGAGAAACACTTACAGATTAAATACATTTAAGGTAATAAAGACAGGATGAAAACACCTTACGATTTCGTGGATTGATACTTGTTTCTTAACTTTCTAGAAACTTAACTAGAAAAAGACCGTTTCCATTTAAAAATTCTTGCTCAATGGAGCATAACCAAGTTACACAAAATAGTAACAGTAATGATAATAGAGCCTTAAGATGTTTTCATTTGAGCTGTGATTGGGGAAAATCATTCAAACCTTTTTAAATGTTTACTCTTTTATAGCAAACTTGTAATCAGCACATTTCAAAAACACTGTAGTTTAGAAATAGCA